CAGTTAAGACCTATAGCAGCATAACTAAGAGATGGTTCAGGACCTGATCCAGAACTATAGACTTTATCAAAAAGGAACGTTTTAACTTTAACTTTAAATGTAGAGATGGTGTCTGACTCTAGAACCCAGAGTGGGAGCTGGTTCCACAGGAGAGGAGCCTGGTAGCTGAAGGTTCTACCTCCTGTTCTACTCTTACAGACTCTAGAACCCAGAGTGGGAGCTGGTTCCACAGGAGAGGAGCCTGGTAGCTGAAGGTTCTACCTCCTGTTCTCCTCTTAGACTCTAGAACCACAAGAGAACCTGTGATCTATTTGGATAATATGGTGTTAGTAGGTCTTTGACATATGAAGGGGCTTGATTGTTAAGGTTTTAAATGTGAGGAGCAGGATTTTGAAATCTATTCTGGATTTTACAGGGAGCCAATGTAGAGAAGCCAAGACAGGAGTAATATGATCTCTCCTTCTAGTTCCTGTCAGCACTCGTGCTGCAGCATTTTGGACCAACTGGAGACTTTTTACAGATTTCCTGGGGCATCCTGATAAAAAGGAATTACAGTAATCTAATCTAGAGGTAACAAATGCGTGGACTAGTTTTCAGCATCCTTCTGAGACAGGATGTTTCTAATTTTGTTAATATTGCACAGGTGGAAGAAAGCTGTCCTAGAGACTTGTTCTATGTGTTGGTCAAATGTCCTGGTCAAACATAACTCCAAGGTTCCTCTCAGTGGAGCTGGAGGACAAACTCACACCAAGGTGACTCTGTTCAGACAGTGATTCTCTGAGAAACCAGTCTAGTGCAGTTCCTCTGATCCCTTCATGTTGTTCTAGTCTAGTCATAGTCACAGCGCATATAATTTCTGTCCTCTCTCACTTCTATATATCAAACATCACAGATTGTGCACTGCTGTGAGAATCACTCAGAGGCTCATGGGTAATGTAGTTTTTAAAATGAATCACTTACACCTTTTCAAAGCCACGCCCACACCAACACATATGACCTGATTGGTTAAAACTTTACCTCCCTCACCATTGAAAAAATATTTTTCAACGTTAAAAAACATTCACGTTTGTTGAAAGTTCAATAAAATTCTAACTGAGTTTTAATCCCTGAATGTCCAGAACCTTAATAAACTTCTTGTTCATGCGTAGCTGCACTTGTGCAACTTCAGGTTGCGTTGGTCCGAGTATCTCTTCCCGCACTTGTCGCAGATGAACTGTTTGCCGCCAGCGTGGACGTGTCTCTTGTGCGTCCTCAGATGACTTCCCTGACTGAAGGTCTTGCCGCAGATGTCGCAGGTGTACGGCTTCTCCCCCGTGTGGACGCGCTGGTGCAGCTTCAGGCTGTTGGCGTTGTTAAACTTCTTGTCGCACGAGCTGCAGGCGAACGGCTTCTCGGCTGAGTGCGTGCGGCCATGTGAGATCAGGCTGCTCTGCTGGCTGAACGTCTTGCCGCACTCCCGGCAACTAAACGGGCGCTCGCCGGTGTGGATTCTGCGGTGGATCTTCAGGTTCACTGACTGCCGGAAGCTCTTCCCACAGAGGTCGCAGTTGAAGGGCCGCACGCCACTGTGTATCCTTTGGTGGTTCTTGAGGTTGACGGCGTGGCGAAAGGTCTTGGGACACTCCTCACATTTGTAGGGTTTCTGTCCTGAGTGGATGAGCTCATGAGTCTTAAGCGTGACGGAACGGGTGAAACCTTTTCCGCACACATTGCAGACGAAGAGCTTCTTGCCGGTGTGCGTGAGCTTGTGTCGGTACAGGTTCTGCTGCAGGCTAAAGCGGCGGCCACACACGTCGCAACTGTGCGGCTTCTCCCCGGTGTGGACGATGGAGTGCGTCTTCAGCTGTGCCTGTTTGGTGAAACACTTCCCGCACTCGGGACACTTGTACGGCCGCTCACCCGTGTGCATGCGCATGTGGCTCTGCATGCTCTGCCTTTGACGGAAGGCTCTGCAGCAGATGCTGCAGGAGAACCGCTTCTCCCCCGTGTGGATGCGCTGGTGAGACTTAAGGTTGCTCTGAGACGTGAAGGATTTGCAGCACAGCGTGCATATGAAGTACTTCCAGGTGACGCTCTGAAGAACAAACTCAGGTGAAGCAGAAATTTCCTCCTGCAGGTCAATAAGAAGAGGCTGAGCTTCATCATGAGCTCCTGGAAGGAAAAACCATCATCATCATGAGCCACACAACCTGAGGTCTGAGCAGGGAATGATATTGATCAATTGATCTGACCAGGAACATGTAACGGTCACTAAGTTTGATCAAATATTGACTGATTTTGATCAGGTGCTCACTCTCAGCGATGGCTCCTAGGTCGATGTTTCCATGTTCGTCTTTGACTGTCACCGCTGGCACAAACGGAACCTCCACTGTTTCCTTCTCTGGTTTGGTCAACAGCGACGTCTATAACATACACACATCAGTCAGGCCAGTGAATGCACCACGATGAACAGGTGAGTGGGCAGTGGTCTTACCTGTGACAACCTGTCCATGTTGCAGCTTTGCAATCGCATACCGTACGAGTGTTCCAGCTCTGTGATAGACATTGAAAACATCAAGTTAGCATGATATGATCACCATGGATTTCCGAATTGGTGTGTAATCAGCAGGGACGTGGATACTTTACATACCGACGCATGTGTTGTTGAGGATGTTGAGGACGCTGGTCTGAGGCCTATTTCCACTCCGTCCTGACTCCAGCTCGGCTTCATCCACGATGTTCATAATTTTCCCCAGAGCTTCGTTCCCGAGGGTCTCCATGATGGAGGCAAACAGCACCTGACACAGGTCAGAGGTCAGACTCACCTCCACATGTTCTGACTGCAGCGTTAATGTGAAGTAGTTCTCTCTTTTGTCTGATTACACCAAATTATAAATTATTATTATCAACAAAAGTTCAAATATGATGTTGTGTTTTATTACTGAACCAGATGTTACAGATGTCCTGGCTGTTTTAACTCTTTTTCACTGAATTTACTCATAAAGAGAGTTAAAATAAATCTGCACAACCAGGGTCTTGCTCTGGTTCCGAGCTCCACAGCTGCCCGTCTCCTCACCGTCTTCTCCCAGCTCTCTGATGGCACTTTGGCTGGCAGAGGCAGCTCCTCTTCCGTCCGGACCTCCAGGAAGATCGAGCTGTTCTCCACCAGCTTCTTGAGCTCCGCCACCGCAGCGTGAACCAGAGACTCCATGATGGTGGCCAGCTGAGTGTGCAAGGCCACGGAGGAACTCATCCTGCCAGCAAACACCAGCTAACCCCAGCTCAACCTGGCTAACACCAGCTAACCACAGCTGGCACCAACTAGCACCGGCTAACCGCAGCTAACACCAGCTAACCGCAGCTAACGCCAGATAACCGCAGCTAACACCGGATAACCGCAGCTAACACCGGCAAACCGCAGCTAACACCGGATAACCGCAGCTAACG